CTTGCCAGTCCCTCATGGACAAAGGCAACCCCTCATGGACAGAACTGGCCCCTCATGGATGGAGTTGGCCCCTTGGCCAAACACAGGTCCCTCAGAGCCTGCTAGGGCACTTGGGGACAGCCAGTGCCCACTGATGGAACCACAAAAAAATGCCAAGTTATCCAAGCTCTCAGCAGCTCAACCACACACGGCACTGCACGAACAGCCAGGTGAAATATGAGTTTAAAGTTTGTCCATGGGGTTTTTCCATGGGAGGTAGGAAAAGGCCTGGCAAGGCCTCGGCCCTGCCAGTGCTGAGGGGATTTTTCATGGCCAGGGATGATTTCATTGTTGAAACCCAACTTTCCATGTGGGGATAACATGTACAGATAAGGGCTGGATGGGGACTTGGAGCTTGGCTGCTGCCTGGGGGTTTGGCAAATGGGCCTGAGCTACAAGAGATGTTTTGATAGCACAAATAAGGATGAGGAATTAGGCAGTGTGGTGATCCAGAGAGAGGATGAGCAGGTCTGCTCCTACAATTACTTCTTTGAAGGTTTCCAAAGTATTTCAGCTCAACATCACAAAGAAATTCCTCAAATCTACTTTCAGACATCTGGCAATGTTCCTTTTAAAGAGATTATAAAATCAATCAAATATTTTCCATCCTTACCTAAATGTAAAATAATGTAAGATGATCTTGAATTTATGGATAATATTTAATGGTTTATACATGACCAAGTGTATTCCTTTAACAATGAAAATTATGCTATCACCAATTTCTTTACATTCATACTCTGTTTTGACAGTGTGTTAAAATAAAGCTCAGTCTCTAACAGTCGTAGAATAATTATTCTATATTTCTATTTTAAACTTCTATTTGTCTGAATCAAGTATTTTTCATTCCTTTCCCGATATTCTTTCCAAATTCTTTGCATCTCTGTAGCTGATTAAACACAGTGGTGCACCTGACTGCAATTCAGTGTGAACCAGCAAGAGCAGCTCCCAAACAGATTATTAAGTTATTAAAGGTGCATTTTCATAGAAGCAAGTGTGAGGAACCAAAACTAATGAGTATTAAAAGCAGCTGGTTAATTTTGTTACATTCAATCTTTCTTCATCTTCTACCTCATCGTTAAAGTTGTGAAAGGCTTTTTAGATTGCAATAATGAAAAATAAACACACCTCCCCAGCTGGCCCAATTGATTCTCAGCCTGCATCCCCACACACATTTGAAAAGAGAGAACTTCTCTGGTAGCACAACTAAGGGCAGTTGTGATGATAAAAAAGTCAACTTCTACAGTGGAAATATTATCAGTTAACTGTTAATTGATATTGTGTCTTTCCATGAAACCTTTTCATGGTATCCTGTGACCTACACCCAGAAAAAAAACCCACAAAATGAAGCTGAAATGTTCTTCCCCAGTGCACTCCACCAGCCCATTTCTAGAACAAAGTACCAACAGAAAGACTTCTTCTGTCCTGCTGTAACGTCATCACTAACATGTAACACCTCGTGGAGTGCCTGTTTGGGGGGTGGTTGCACAGATACCTCCATGGAAAGGTTCTTCCTTCACATAAAAATTTTAAAAGCTTCACTCTACTGTGCTGGGGCATGGCCCCAAGGTGCCAGACCTCCAGGAGCATTTGGACAACACTCTCAGGGATGCACAGGGTGGGATTGTTGGGGTGTCTGTGCAGGGCCAGGGGTCGGATCAATGATCCTTATGGATCCCTTCCCACTCAGGGTGTTCATCATCCTACACGCAGTGAATTCTTCATTTTTTACATGCACTGGAAATGGCAGCATCCAAGTATTTTTAGCAAGAAATCAGGGAATTTAATTCACTGACATACTCCTATAAGAAATAAACATTTTTATAAGAGAAAGTAGATGAAAAATTTGTTGTAAATTGGTGGGTACTATATAAAACTGTGGGTAAATATAGTTAAGTATTGGAGAGAGTGGATTCCAGTCTCATTTGGTATTCGTCCAACTAACTCATCCCATTTTACCAGCTGTCCTTTATAAGGTATCACTGATGCTCCAGTGGGCCTCAGAGACTCCAATTGCATGGAAAATTCTACAACTGTCAGCACAGCTCTGCCCAAGGGGGGATTCAGCATTGTTTTGCAAAGTGACAGGGCTAGATACTGCCTATATGTGGTATTTCTGGGATAATGAAAGTGAAACTAATCGGAACACAAATATTTTTAAAGCAAATTCAAGTCGACACGTATGTGTATTTTTTTCATATAAATTATTTCCATAGATTTTTGGGAGGTTCTTTTCATAAGCACTTAAATGAGAGCTTTTCATTATAATATAATCACTTTAGGGCAGGAAATCCCTCAGGCATAACTGAGAGCTGGGATCTCTACTGCATCTATAGCTAAAGGAGCAATCAAAGAAAATTTAAAGGAGAGACTGAAGTCTCGTAACCCATAATAATATTATTAATTCATTCAGCATGCAAATATTATTCTACTCAACATTTAGCAGACTTCCCCAGCTCCATGCTGAATTCAGACAGGGGTTCACTGGGAAATGAGCCTCACAGCAGAGTCAATGGCATCTGAGTTACAAATATGATGCCTTAACTTGAGAAGTTCAGGGCCTTTAAAACAGTCTGAGAAAGCACTTGCAAGTGTGATTGATCCTGTCAATCCATAGGTGGGACATCAAATATTAACATGGGAAATTAATTGAGTCAGCTCTGAGCTCATTACTACTTCTTGCTTTCTAAATAAACCAGTAAATTCAGTTTAGGCGACATTCTACCAAATTATCATGTTCCTGCTGCCAGGAAACATTTTTTTCCTCTGCTCTGGTATCTGTTTCGGCCCTTATCCCACAATATTACCAGGACTTTATCCAGCTAAATTCTGGAAGATCTTACAAGGCAAGGAAGAACCAAGTTCTACAGTCAGGTCCTTTTACTGTTTCACAGTCACTCGGGACTCCTGCTCAGCCATTTGGTTTTTTCAGAGAAGTGCCCTGCAGTAATTCTTATTTTGTATTTCCAATAAAAGCCTGTGAGATGTGCAGCACACCAAAGTATGAACAACAAAGTTGTTCAGGGAACTGTGCTTCACCAAAAACAATGCCTGGCTGGAAAAGTGGTTTTCAGGCACTGTAGCAAATTGTGGTTATTCACAAAGGTATTCAATGAGGAATCCACAGTTTGCTGCAGATATGATAAAGCTAAGTATGTCTACAATTAATTTTCCAATCATATCTGCTTGATATTAGGATTCCATTTCCATGTAAGAAACTTTTTTTTTTCCTCTAAGAATAGTCATGTCTCCAAGAACATCCTCTTCACTGAGCTTGGAATCAAGAAAAACAATGGCTTGGGACTTAGAACTAAATATAAGCTTATATTTGCCATAAGCCTTTTAAGTTTCTCTGTGATGGATAGTTTCTCTCCAGTGAAAGTTTCCAGAGTTTGACAAGATATATTTCAGAGAATTTTTCCAAACAAAGCAATTAAAAATAAGATGTAAGCTTCGTGTGACTGGGAATTCCTATTATGTGATCTACTTGAAAATTAAAACCCAGCAGAGCCTTCATGATTCCAAGGCTATGCTGATTGCCATTTGAAGCTGGAAAGGTTTTTCCCTAATGCACAAGTGATGAAGTGCACGTAATGCTTGGAGGAAAGTTACCTTATCTGCAGTATCAGATATAGATTACTGCTGGAGTCAGTGTGCCACGCTGCTGGATCCATACACTCTGTTCCAACATGAGGAATTGAGTTTCCCTGATGTCATAAATTGAACACATAATGCAATTAACATCTCCTTTGAAGTTCACATTGACCAGGTAACCACTAGAATGAGTTGGCAAAACTTGACTGAAGTCACCGCCACGAGCTCGGCTCAGACAGAGACCTCAGCTCTGACTTTCTGCAAATGTGGAACTCTTGAGGCTGAGACATTGATAGCTGCTCCTTTGGGACCCCTCAGCTGGGGTAATTTATGGTATCACACTACAATTGACATGTTTATGATCACACCAATAACCCCAGACTTTGAGGCATTTAAACACTGGAGGTAACTAAATGATTAATTTTAGAAAGAAGAGAATGGAACAAAGCCAAGACTTCTATCTTCGTGAAAAAGAAAAGAACTTGAAATGAACATCTTGGCTACTTTACAAGACTGCAGAAACATTATAGGCTGAAAGACTGTGTAATTTCCAAAAGTGTTAATACTCCTTGGAGATGAAAATACAGTGACAAAAATAGAATTCTTAGAATAAAACAGAATTTCACTTGCACTTAAACAGAAAGAAAATTGTATGAGGAGAGGGAAACATTACACCATTGTCAATGCTTTATGGGGAGCTATTTGGTTTGAGCATTGAAAACCAGACTAATAAATGATCAAGTAGAAGTCTAAAAAGACTTAGGAAAATAGATACCAGAAAGTTATGATTGGTAGTATTAAACATAAGAAAGCATGGAGCTTAATGTAACACACAACAGAAGTGCAACTACTAAAAACATCAATACAATCACAGACTGATGATTTCAGCAAAATTACGTATGATAATATAATAAGTGAAGACAAGTACCCTATATATAAATACAAAAAGATATATTGATCTACACAGTAACATAATGTGCATCTCAGAGAGTCATTTCACACTCTCAAGATGTCCAAACACCTATAAGCTGTTTTGAAGCATCTATTTTGCACCTTCTTACCCCAGGAGCAGAGAGATTCAAGTCTCTTTGCAATGCCTAAAACATGTGCGGATTTTTTTGTGTCATTTTAAGGAAGAGTTAATGCATTTAGCTGTTAAAACAAAAAACACTCCTTTCACCCTCATGCCAGCTTTAGCTATAGCTGGGCTGGTTTGCCTTCTTTCTTAGAAGACTCCTGTTTAGTAATTGTTGGGAATAATGTCAGCACCATGAGAATTCTGTTCAGGTAGAAACCAAAACCTCTTTTTTCACTGTCTGGAGAGCATTTATACAAATTCCCCTAATTGAAGTGAAGTGAGAAGTGCTTACCTTCTGTTGGTGATGTCTTCAGATGTCTGCAGAGCCCCTCTGTTTCCCCATAAGTCTCTTTAATTTTTACTACTGCTTCTGTCCCTCGGAGTTCCATGAGGGAGCGCAGTTCCTGCAGTGTGCACCCAAACTCTCCTGCATGGTTGGCCTCATTTCTTTGGTTCTTGGAATAAAAATCGCTATTTGTCATGTCACCCATCGTGGCTGGTTTATATTGCTCCACTCGTTGTAGTTGGATACAATCTTAAAACTGTTTTAAAAACTGGAGGACAGGAACCTCGAATTCCAAATCGGAGAAATTAAAAAGAATCCCGCGTGTGTCCGGCGAGCGACGTGGAGGATGCCCCTGGCGAGGAGGGTGTCCCTGACAGGCTGGAGGTCACAGAACGGCTGCTCTCAAGGCTGCAGACCAGCTCCACTCCATTCACCATTTCCCATTATGCTGCACCCAAGCTGTAGAATCTACATGGTCATTTCTTCCTCTGGACCTTTGGGAAGAAGCAGAAAGGACTCATTACAAGAGGGATGGTGTCAGACGGGTGGTGGCATCCCAGAGGAGCTGCGCAGCACCAGGGTGGGGTGTCCTGGAGGTGCTGCAGGTGGGTAGCATCCACCCAGGACAACACCGGTTCTGCCTTAGATAAAGCTCCCCAGAGCTAGAGCACCAATAGCAGCGCTGCTCGAGTCCAAAGAGCAGCCGCTAAATGAGATGAGTCATGAATATTAATTAGTGAGCGATTAGCCCGGCGTGCAGGATGCACCCCCAGTACGTGCTCCGCTCCATACAGCCACACCGGGCTGTCCTCTGAGCACAACAAAGGCTCCCTGATAAGGCTCTGAGCTTAACAACTGGTTAAACCCAACCAATTTTCACTATGGGTTAAAACAAAACTGACTTTTAGCACAAAAGCGGTGAAACTTGGGGGAAAACTATAGAGCCACCATGAGAAATGCAGAATATATTTAAATACATTACATCTTACAGCCTTGCCTTCTGTGCAAGCGAGCACAGCGTGGATGCAATGGGATGGCTGGGTTGGCAGAGGCAGAGCTCTGTATGAGGAGCCCTTTCCCCTGAGCCCAGTCACCACACACACACACACAGGATGCTGCTGGGCTCTCTCTTTTTCCTTCTTTTTCCCTTTGTTTTATTCTCTTTTTTTATGTGCAGTGTTGAACGAGTCCCGTTTGGACCATCTGGGAGACAGTTGATTACTTGCTAAAGCCAGCCTTTAAAACCTGTTTCCCCTTCCCATATTCTAATGAAGTTGGTTTAAATACTGCTGAAACCAGCTATTATATTTGGCACGCAGAGTTTTAACAGAGATTAAAGGTTTCTTTTTTGCCTCAAGCGGGTTAGTGCAAGTGCACTGTCTAATCTAGAGGTCTCAGAATCGTTTTCATAATAAAAAAGATCTTTCAAAGGGCACCCCAGCAGCCTAATAACTGACCAACCTGTCACAGGCGAAGGTCACACATTGAACTTTCTAGGCACAGCAATCCCCAGTGGAAATTATATATAAATGCCCAGATAAAGCACATCAAGAGAAGCCCAGTGCCTTTCAAGTCCCGGGTTTGTATTTGTGCAATAATTTTAATCTCCCACCCAGCTACAGCTGATGTAACACGTGGGGTTTGCTATTTCCACTCTCTAAGGATGTTGCCGTTGCTCTGCAATGACAAAGATCAGACCTGGGTGAGCACTAATTTGGAGTTACCTTGCTCAATTAACAAAACTGAACCTCTACCAGCCCTCTCCTTTACAGCTGCAAACCTCAACATTCCTTTGATTTCTGTGGAGGAAAACGTTAAACAAAAAAAAAAAAAAAACAAAAAGGAAGTTCAAGTTTCACTATGATATCACAGCCCAAAATTCAAATACCAGCCAACTGCTACACATTTCTTCCACCCATCCTATTTGGTGATGTATCTTCTAGTGCTAAGAACTTCTGCCACCCTCAACTTCACGTATTGCTTTCCACATTCACAAGATGAGAATTTCAGCACAAAATGGTTTTTGTGCTGAAACAACAAAGAGAAATTTGAAGTAGCAATTAAAAAGGGTTTTTATTTGCCAAGCAGGAGATGGTGAACCACACTCTGCTCTCCATGGCTGCATCCTGGGCACTGCTCAGCCTCAACCCATCCCCAGGTACTCCCCTATATCCAGCAGGAATAAAAGGCCTTTCTCACACTACTGCTTTGTCTTTTTGTAAACAGGATGGATCAGAATTCTGAACAGAAATAGCATCAGCCTGCAGCATTATTTGGGGAAAAAATTGCAGGCCAGAAATGTCACAGATGCCCGGTGAAACAGGCTTCATCCCAGGAGGCAGCACAGGGCTCCTCCTCCCGACCAGCAGCATCCCAGGCTCAGCCTGCTGCCAGCCACAGCAGAATGCAGATTGAGATCTGATTGTCAGAAAGGCTACAGTGATGATAACAAATAGCTGAAATAACAGGCTGCTCTTTACTTCCAGTGGTTAAATAAATAAATAAATAAAATCTGTTCTTAAGTGCAGTTCAGGGTTTTGAAAGCTGGGCATCTCAAACAGCCATGATTTTAAGAGAAAAGAAGATGGAAAAAACATTGCTCTAACAAAAAAAAATCTTTTTAAACATTGCTCCAAAATAACAACATTGTTCTTAAACTGTTCCATAACACCACAGAGAAAAGACAATTTTGAATGTTTTCTGAGAAGAACCATCTACGAATTTCATTTCTGATGCAAAGGTTACTAAACACAGCATCAAAGACATTTTCTCCATGATCATTCTGTGGGATGTGTCCACTCCTCTCAATCAAAGTATCTCTTTAGGCTCCCTGTGCTATAAATTAATTTCTTTTCTTCCATTCTTAGAAATTCATTGTCATTTGTCAGCCACAGCGCTGACAAGACAGTGCTGCTGCTTTTCAGCATGACTCATTTGCCTGCTTAATTTTTAATTTCGCCTCCAATTAAATATTAACCAATAAACAACAAATATGAAGTTTACACTTCCTTCAGAACTCCAAAACCAAATCTCTGGCCGTCTGTGCTGCTCATGACTCATCTAATGCTGTGCCACCAGGGAAACACCACCTCATGGTTCTGAGGGGCAGATGGAGAAACACAGCAGTGTTTCTGAGCGTGACTGTCATTATTCCCTGCTCATGCAGCTCCCTAATCCCCTGGAATAGGATCCTCAGGCTCCATCCCATCCAAAATCTCTCCTAGCCAAAGCCCAGGCTCCTCACCAGTCTGGCAGGACTGGCACACCACCACTTCACCCCTCCAAAGTGGTGAATATTGAATATTTCTTCACCAAAAGCTGAGGAATAGAAAAGTTGTAGATGGCACGTGGCAATATTCCCATCATGGGGCTTGGCATCTTCAAAATACATCCAGTTACCACAAATGGGGAAATTGAGTCTCATCCACAAGAAATCACATTATTACACTGGGTTTCGGTGGGGGTTTTTTGTTTGCTGGGGGTTTTTTGGGTGGAGGAGAAGGAAGGGACTATTTTACAAAAAAACTCACAATATTGATATTTTCAAGATGTCCTACGTATTGATGTTCTCAAGATGTCTTAAGTGAACTACCAAGAAATTCTGATGCAAGGAGGTGATCCTGGCACATTTTTCAATCAAAATTATCTAATATCCTAATGACCCAATAAATAAAGTGAGCTGGATTTCATGCTCTGGGTGCTGCTTTCACTGCTCTATCCATGGTGGGCTTCAGTGGGGTTTAATCCATAACCAAAACCTTCCTGGAGCATAAAGAGGCACCATCCCCAAGCCCTGAGAGCACAGGGTTTGCTTTCCACACCATCCTAGAACAAGGACCCTCCTCCAAATCCTCCAGATTTGGTCTCATCATTCCCTGTGAGAAGAACTTCTAGGGAAAATGTGCCTACTCAGACATGTTCAACAAAAGAGAAATAAAAACTCCAGTAAATTAATTCCGCACACAACAGCAGTTGGTTTTCCCAGACTAAAGCAGTCACTTTTAATGAAGGTTATTTGGCTTTACTTATTCTTCCCAATGCTTCTGAAACTAGAAAACTGACTAAAAGAAGTCCCAAAGTGCAGTTTTTAAACAACAGATTGCTGTGGAGCAGAGATAAAATCCCAGCCCACTTAGATACAACTCAGGTAATAAAAGACTTCACACACAAAACACCTGAGTAAAAAATCCACCATCCTTATTTTCCTCATTTAAAAGTCAGAATATCAGTCTGTCCCTTGGTCTGAAATCTTGTCAAAGACGGATTTTTGTTGTACAAATGCAATATAAACTTGAGCTGGCTGTTTAGTTGGGTTTGTTTTTTTTAATTTTTTTTCCAGAGTTGCTGTGTCTGGGGGAAGAGGCTTCCAGTCCTGTAGAGCCCAAGTCAAATATTTTTAATCTCCTAGCTGCTTAGAGGAAATGCATGCCAATTAAAACAGAAGCAATTTGGATGAGCTAACTGCAGGCCTGCTGGGAAAACTATTCTTTGATTTCCCTAATCAGGAAAAGTCTCATCTTGGAAGCTTGTAAATATTTTCACAGTGTGTTAGAATGTAGATATCATCCCCAAGTATTCTGACATCTGATTTCATTCAGGCTTCTACTGGCAGGAAAGTTAGCAGCAACTTAATGAACCAGATTTCACCAGAGCAGAATCCCAAGGGTTGCATTTCACCGTCCTAAAGGTCTGGACAAATAATGGATTCATCATGAGTCAAAAAAAAAAAAAAAAAAGGTTTATTTTTAATTTTTCTGTTTTCTCTAAAATTCTGGCAAGCCTGATTTCAGAGTTTGCTGTGAGGAGCTGTTTGAATTACAGGTGAAATGGTGATTCCCTCTCACTCCTCGTGCAGCTGGAAGGTGGCACACACAGCTGCTGCTCCAGGACTTAAACTGAATTGAACTCAGGGCATTAGCAGTTCCCACCCCTCCATAGGGAGCATTTCTGCCCCACTTGGACTTTATTTGGCAGGAGATAAAATTCCAGCTGAACCCTATAGACAGCCCCTGAGTAAGGGGTGAAATACACATTTTAGTGGGTGCATAATCAGATTCTTCTGTATTCACTGATCCTGCCACATTTTTCAATCAAAATTATCTAATACGCTAACGACCCAATAAATAAAGTGAGCTGGATTTCATGCTCTGGGTGCTGCTTTCACTGCTCTATCCATGGTGGGCTTCAGTGGGTTGAATTCATAACAAAAACCTTAATAAAGTAGGACTGGAAGCAGTTTTAAGAGAATTTTCCCTTGAATCTGAGCAAAATCATCTGAGAGATTTTGAGACTACAGTTCCTGGGAGCAGCAGAGGATGCAAACCTCACAGCTGACCTCTGCAAGGGGAAAAGAGTTGAGAAGGAAAGCCAAAACCTGCTCTGTGGAGGCCTGCAGATATGTGAAATAAATCAGGTGGGGCCCAGCTGTGGCATCTTTGCATGGAAAATCCAAAATTCCCATCCATTTGGGAACACAATCTTCATGGAGCAGAAT